TAAAACTTTATTTAGGATATAAAATGAAAGCGTATGTAGATACTGAAGGGTACATATTTAGAGACCCTGGAATCTGGCATTTTAAAATGCCAGCACATGCATAAGTTTTGTTTCTGTAAATTCACTTTAAGAATTGTCATATTTTTGATAAATATGTTCCATGTACTAACATAACTGCAGTTCATTGTAGCTAGGGATGAGCTTCGAGTATGGGTTGGCAATGAGCAACCAATTATAAATCATGAAATTAAAGGCCTTTCAACTGCAGTCAGGTGCCACAGAAGGTGCTATCTGGTGACTTATCAGAATCGCTAGTCCTCCTCAAGCAACCAAGAGCCTATGAAACAATACAGGCAAAATGCTGCCATGCTGTTTTTCTTGTATGCCTGGGGGCTAAAGCCATGCTGGAATAGAGATAATGTCAACTCTTTAGGGGCAAGTCAAGAGGTGGCTGGCCCTACACCATCTTGTGCCAGGAAAGGTTGTGTTTGACAATGACACTTACTTGCTGTCTGCCCTTTGGCAGGTAAAGTTCACACGCATGCCTTAGCCTGGCACACATTCTCAACCTTGTGGCCACACTGGAATAGAGATTCTGTCAGATTTTGGGGGGAAAGTAAAAAACGTGGCTGAATCTACACCATCTTGTGCCAGAAATGGTTGTGTTTGACAATGACACTAGTTTACTCTCTGCCCTTTGGCAGGGAAAGTTCACACACGTGCCTTGTCTAGCACATGTCCTCAACCTGGTGGTGCAGCAGTACCTAGTTAGGTACCCTGGCTTCCATGAGGTCTTGCAGCATGCCAAAAGAGTGTGCGCTCACTTCACGCAGTCATACCCAGCAAGTGTTCGCATGGCTGAAATTCAGCGGCTGTACTTTCAGAAGGGGTCGTCAATGAATATTAATGCGGGACAAGTAAAGGCTTTTTCATGCCCGGCTCCGCCCAGTTGTCATGTAATGACAGCACAGTGTCCTCAAATAAACTAAAGAGCATTACAATTCTAGGTTTCAGAAGAGAATGGCACAACAAATGAAACTGTATGCAAGCACACTTTAAGATGCTTTAGTTTAAAGCAAGAATTATCAGTCAAAATAATATATTGTCATAATTTATTTATTCCATTTTGTTTGCCTTTAAAGTGTATGTAAAGCTAAATATATGTTTAGCTCAGTTAGCTTACCCTTCACTTCCTGTGCCAAAGAAACAACAGTAAGTAAAAGAGGAAATCATTCTAAATCTAGGGTATATCAATCCAACATGAATCCCCATAGGAACATTTCCTTTCGCTTCCTGTTCATGTGTTAACTCTTTTGGATTCTCTATAACTTTCTGTCATTGTGACAATGTTAACCAGCTCAAAAAAGAGAGGATTAATTTTCTCTGTAAGCAGGGGCGGACTGACAACACATGGGACCCCAGAGCAATATGAGATTATGGGGCCCCCAATATACAAGCCCCACCCATCCACAAGCCCCACCCGCATATAGATTCTTGTTTTACAGAAATTATTTCTTCACCCTATTTTCAAAATAGCCGGTCTATTCACTAAAAGGTGAATTACAAGGTAATTGCTAGGAAATTGTCTAAATCTAGACCAATATAGGCAATTTGGAAAGTGAGCTGAATGGCAGAATTTTTCTTGTTGGGCTATTTTGACCTAGGTTCTTAAATTCCCAATTATCCTGGGTGAATTGCAGGAGAACTAGTAGGAGAATTGACAGGGGATCTGAATAACCTAGGCCTCAGACCAGCACCAATGCATGGCGGACCTCAGACCAGAACCAATGCACATCGGACCTCAGACCAGAACCAATGCACATCGGACCTCAGACCAGAACCAATGCACATCAGACCTCAGACCAGAACCAATGCATGACAGACCACAGACAAGAACCAATGTACAGCAGACCTCAGACCAGAACCAATGCACGTCAGACCTCAGGCCAGAACCAATGCACAGCAGACCTCAGGCCAGAACCAATGCATGATAGACCACAAACCAGAACCAATGCACAGCAGACCTCAGACCAGAACCAATGCACTGCAGACTGCAGGCCAGCACCCACCACTGCCTCTATGTCCTCTGACCCCTGCAGCTCTCACCCTGCCACTGTGCCCATTTCTCTCCTTTCCCACCATAGCCTCTGTGTCCACTGACCCCCGATCTCTTCCCCGGGGTACAGAGATCATCTGACCTCTTCTGCCGCGATCCTTCCACTGGAGATAGCTTTCGGCGGCTCTCTACTAACACCCATTAGGCCCAAGCATAAGCTGAGGTGGCCGTCTGATTTGCTGACTATAGTACAGCCCTCAGCCAGTTACTGTTTGGTGCAGCTGGCCAGGGACAGCAGGGTGGTGGAGGCAGGGAGTGGCAATTTTCTCGGGGGGGGGCTGGGGGCAATTACAGTATTGCAGTGGAGTCAATTGGCCAAGCCAAACATTCCAGGGTTCTGTTTTTTACCAATTTTAGTGCTGGAAGATGTTTATGGGTGGAATATTGTCCTGAGTTTTCATGCTGTTATTACTTTCCATAATTATCTGGATTTGTCCTTGTGCTCAGAGGGGGGGGGGGGGGGGGGGGGGGGGGAGGGCTGGGGGCAATTGCCCCATTGCTTCCCCCTGGATCCGCCACTGAAGTGAGTAAAGTGCTTAAGATGTTAATACACTGTGAAAGATTAAGGCACACCATAGTGTACTGCAACTGTTACAAGTTAGCCAGTCAAGCTTGACAGACTTCTAAAAAAACTTATTTCTCACTGATCACCTGTCTCAGCTCCTCCTCCTGCTCATTTCCACCCGCAACTTCCTCTCCAGGGCCTGGATCTCTTCCGCGCTGTGCATCTCCAACAGAGTGTAACACGCCACAGGTATGTTTGTAGGATCGCAGCTGCGGAGATGCGTTATTACTTTGGAGGGGCACAATCCGCCTCCTTCAATACACGTGATGTGGAGACGGTTATTCAGTATTCAATTCCTGTGCTGCATTCTCCATACAATTCAAGGAGGGTTTGGAATTGTGTGACATCATACACCGTCTTATTTCGCTTAACTTCACAGAGGTATTACCTCATACGCCCTAGAGGAGTGTGCAAAGCATAACAACATACATGAATAGTTATACGTGCACTGCATAATTTATAACTAAGAACAACTTAAAGGGTTTAAATTAATATGAATATGGTTTGTGCCACCAAGCTTGCAAGAGGTCTGAATGTGACCAGAGGTTATAGTACTCCAGGAGCATCACTCTCTCAGTAAACCGTTTACATAGGCTGAATGAGGGGGGATGCAATTCATAGTTTGCAACAAATCCCCTTCCCAGTTCCATGCAATCACGCTCAGTATTGGTAGTAGCTATAGGAGATCTGAACCCGACTTGATAACAGATTCCACTGGTAGTGAGTGCAATGGGAGTTGTAGCAATGTAGACTCAGCACAATTCACTACAAGGTTCACAATGACATGTCAGTATGGCAGGAGCATAACAATAGTCCATGACAGGTAGCATGCTACTTGCGGTTTGATGGGGATCTTCCCCTGTAGTAATCCAGACTGCTGGCAGCAGCTTACGGTGATGTGAAGGAGACAGGTAGCAGCTTCCAGCACAGAGCAGAGGGAGAGACTGGCATTAGAACCTGGAGGCAGTGGGAGCTCACAATGTCCAGGCTGTGAGAGCAGGCAGATTACACAGAGGATGATTGCTCAGCGTTTCACAGGTAATAGTGGAATACTGAGCAATCAAAAACCCTGCTGCTTTATTGTGAGAGCAGGTGTGCAGAAGGAGGAGCGGCACGACGCCCATGCGTGTGAGGCTGCTGGGTCCCGATGCTGGAGTGTTCCTAGGTGAGTATATGACACAGAGCCACCGGGTACCAGATCTGTTAGCCTGCCCAACAGCATCTCTGACAGCTTGGCCCGGAAGGCTGAGTGGGTAGAGTCAATTGGGCAAGCCAAACATTCCAGTGGTTCTGTTTTTTACCAATTTTAGTGCTGGAAGATGTTTACGGGTGTAATATTCTCCCGCGTTTTTATGCTGTTATTACTTTCCATGATTATCTGGATTTGTCCTTGAAAATTAGGGCAAAGCCAACAGGACGATCATCAATGACTTTGGTAAAAATGCACATTTAAACAATTAACTATGGCAAGTAATTTTACATTGGTTATTATGTATTTAGAAAGAGTAAAGGTTATCAAATATTTACTAACTTCTCTCATTATAATCTGGAAACAACTATGGCATTCTGAAAAAAATATCCTTTCACTGCACAATTGTTACATGTACCCCATAACTTTATTTGGATATTTAATGCAGAATAGACACAGAGGCTGGAAAGATGCCTTTTGTAAGTATTAAAGGGTTAGTCTACCCAGAACCGTTATCTTTTTTACAGATCCTGGGGAAGTAAATCAATGACTAGATTCTTATTTACTAAGGACTCTAACAGCACAATGCCCCCATTTGAGTGCCTGACCCTTCACCCACTGACATGGAGTCTTGTCCCTCCTCTTGTTGCAGCAAGGAGACCCATACTAACCTCTGCATTCTCTACAGGATAAAATAACCATAGCAGAGAATGAGTCCCTTTTGTAATCTAATGATATATGCCCAATAACTACCTTTTACTATGTTGGAAGATCTCTACCTTTGATCTAAAAGTTCAGTATTTTCTGTAGAGAAATGAGAGTGAACCTTTTTGATACATGTGTGTGGTGCATCTGGCAGATTTGACTACCATAACCGTCCCCACATGCCCTGTTGCCTTTGATAATACCCACACAGGGTCACTTGTAGAATGGCCTATTCTGCCAGCTTGTTTGCCCCAAGTATGAGTATCTTTTTCTCTAAAATATGCAGTTTAAAAAAAGGAAAATATATTTGATTTAATTTTGGCATTGCACCCACATAGTCTCATGTGATTACATTGTTTTAATACAGTAACATCAAAGCAATATTTTTAAATATTTATATTGTTTTATTTTTTATTTTTCTCTAGTCGGGAGCAAATGTACTTTTGCAAGATGTGAATAGCAATATTGCACTTGACTATGCCACAGAGGGAACGGAGCCCAACTCTATACTTCTGACATACTTAGAAGAAAATGGTAAGTACTAAAAAACACACAAAATGCTGCAGTTGTTAAAGGACAGATGCTATATCTATATCTATCTCTATCTCTGTCTCTGTCTCTGTCTCTGTCTCTGTCTCTGTCTCTGTCTCTGTCTCTGTCTCTGTCTCTATCTCTTTGTGTCTCTATCTCTGTCTCTATCTCTTTGTGTCTCTATCTCTATCTATCTCTCTCTCTCTCTATCTCTTTGTGTCTCTATCTCTATCTATCTCTCTCTCTCTCTATCTCTTTGTGTCTCTATCTCTATCTATCTCTCTCTCTCTCTATCTCTTTGTGTCTCTATCTCTATCTCTCTCTCTCTCTATCTCTTTGTGTCTCTATCTCTATCTCTCTCTATCTCTATCTCTTTGTGTCTCTATCTGTCTAGCTTTCTCAGAACAGTGAGCCACAGCATGTCTTATTTTATTGTATACGCTAAGAACTGGCCGCTCTTTGAAATTCTTTGAAATATCAAATCAGAGGCACATATGTGCCATAACCTACAATTCTCATTCATACATAATAGCACCCTCTGCTGATTTTATAGATTAAGGTAGAAATAATCTTATTGAAGCATACAGTCAGCTTTCTCTAGCCTAAAATAGCTCATAATAATAGCAAGAACAGTTGGTGGCATCTAGTAGATACAGTATATGGCATTGGTGTTGTGATCCGTTAATATGGATGAAATAAAATATCTTCTGATGAATCCAGTCTGAATTTTTTTTTAAAAATTGTTAGTCAGAGTGTGTTTTGCTTTCCACTGTTGCCTTAGTCTAAAAAAAAAGCAGGCTCAATTTACAAAGCTGACATACCAGGGTAGGTTTACTAATTAAAAAAAAGGTTATAGGTATTTTCAGAGCCCAATGAGATTTTAAAATTACACTCAAATGGCTAAATTAAAGAGCCATATTTATGTGTTAAGGCCATATGAATTTTGCTAATTCAGTCAGATAAATATCTGGTCAGTTTTCTCCTTCAAAGAGGGCTTTGTATTGCTAGTAAAAGTATATAAATATTTGTTTATTTACTTTGTAATAAAGAAAACTAAAGCTAATATGCAAAACACATAAAGCTAGTGAACTTAAAATAAAATCGATACATTTTACAATCCAAGAGTATACCTTGTATTAGAATACCCTGATGTGACACTAAACTCGGGAGCTAAATTTTAAAAATGCACTCAAGTACCTTAACTGTTAACAAAAATGTAGATTATTTGTGAATCACTCTGTAGATCCTCAAATAATCTCTAAATTTGTGCAGACACTGTCCTTCCTTCTGGAGGTATTGAAATTGTAGTCCATCTTGGGAATGAGCTTGGAGCGGTGGCTACTTTACAACACACACAGGGACTATGGAGAACAAAAGTAGCCACCCTCCAGAAGGAAGGACAGTGTCAGAATGAATTCAGAGATGATTTGAGGGTGTACAGCTGATACACAAATTAGATACATTTGTGTTAATAGTTAAAGGAGAACTATGAGTTAAGTGCTTTTCACTCACCTCATAGTTCTAGCCGTCCTGTGACAATGAGACTGTCACAGGTCGGCTCAGTAGATCAAGAAGTGAGCGAACACATACCGGCGTTCGTTCACCTCTCGATCCTGTTACGGCAGAGAGCCGTGACAGGGGAGGGGCTGGATTCCCCCCTCCCCGCTCCGATCCGCCAGCGCTGACTGGCGGATCGGACGGGGGAGGGGGCGGGTACAGCTGGCTCTGCCTCTAGATAGGCAGA